TCACACAAGTACCACTCAAACTATTTCAGAGCATGGAAAGGAAGGAATGCTCCTGAGTTCATTCTTTGAAGCCTGCACAATCCTGATACACAAGCCAGGCAGAGACATCACAACAAAAGAAGGTTACAGATCAGCATCCCTCCTGAATATAGATGCAAAAAATTCTTAACAAAATTCTAGCCAGTGGAATTCAATAGCATATTAAAAAAAAAATAATACATTATAATCAAGTGGAATTCTTACCATATATGCAAGGATAAGGAGTTCTGATGGCTTGATGGGTAAGGCATTCGGGTGCTAACCAAAAGGCTGGTTGTTTGAATCTACCAGCCATTCTGCAGTAGAAAGAGGAGACAGTCTGCTCCCATAAAGAATTAAGGCCTTGAAAACCCTATGTGGCAATTCTGCCCTGCCCTGTGGGGTTGCTATGAGTCAGAATCGACTGGATAGCAGTGTTTTTTTTTTTTTTTTTTGGTTTATACAACGATGGCTTAACATTATAAATCAATCGACATAATCCACTACATAAAATAAAAGAATGATACGTTTTCTGATGAGCTCCCTTGGGGAAGGATCAAAAGTTACTAGGAAAACACAATAGTTACTTAAGGGAGAAAATAGTCTATAGTTTTAAAAAGATCTTCATATTTAATCAATTCTACTATTTCAAGAGTTAGGGTTAGGGTTAGTGTTCCCCTCCTGGTAAGATTATATAGTCTCAGGATGTCTCACTTTACTGATCATCTGCTTTAATTAAAAATAAAACCTCACTGCCGTTGAGTCATTTCCAACTCATAGCAACCCCTCCTTGAGTCTCCAAGGTGGTATCTCTATGGAAGTAGATTGCCCAACCTTCCTTCCCAGGAGTGGCTAGTGGGTTTGAACCGCCAGCCTTCTGGTTAGCAGTCACGTGCCTTAGGCACTATGCCACCAGAGCTCCCTACACATTGCCAGAAGACTGAACAAATCCTTCTTGGAAGAAGTACAATGGGAATGCTTCTTGGTAGCAAAGATGGTGAGACTTTGTCTCATGTACTTAGGACATGATATCAGGAAGGACCAGTCACTGGAGAAGAACATCACGCTTGGTAAAGTTGAGG